AAGTTTACATTTTTTTCGACTTTCATCTAATTGGCTTAATTTTCTTGATTGAAGTTCTGAAATTATAGTTTAGATATGATTTTGTAGAATATTTCGCAGCGTATCTTTTAAAAAAGCATCGAGTCTCGGAAACAAGTCCAAACCAAGTTATAAGCAAAATACTGAAAGGGTCGTTCTTTATGGCTCACCCGTTATTATTATTCAAAACGTCGTAATCTTTGATGGTTTTTGTATTAGATATAACAGTTCTAATATGTGTTATTGATATTAAAATTTGTATTCTTCTTTATTCTATTCATTTTGGCTTTTCTTCTATTATTTATGTAAATTATAGATGTCTATATAGATAAACATAACAGACATTTTTATGGGACATTCATTGTACTCGATAATTTCTTATGTCAGTTTACATCATATAGATGAATTTGTGATATATACTGACCAATTGATGTATAGTGTTATCAAAGATTGAAGGTTAGGTGTTCTTTTTCTATTCTCCTATTTTCAATATTAACCATTTTTCACCTTTATTCTTGAATAATAATATGTATATTCATATAGACGAAAGTTGAACTATATTTGTTCATGAACAAATTTCTTTTCTTATTCTTTTGATAATCAATACAGCATTGATATCATAAATAAATAAATAAATATAAAATTTAACAACAAAATTATTTGAATTTTTTCATATTATGAACAACAATCGTATTTGAAAGATTATTCGAATAAAAACTCTGAAATATACAAACAGTTAAGAGTTTTTTTATAAAGTCGATTCGAATTTAGAGCCACAATGACTACTACTAAAACTAAAATATTTTAGTAAGAAAATATTATTATACAGATAGATGTAAGACGTTTTTCAACATCATTATTTCATTTTATTTTTAAAAAATTGATAATATTTTTGAATAGTTGAATGAGATCAATATTTATTTGAATTGTTATTGACATAGAAAGATTCCGACATTAATGTAAGTGTTAGGTGGGCGTCAAGAAAAACTTCTACTATAATAGTAGAACTACGTCTTTTTTCTATTGTTGTTGTAAAAAAAAAAAAATGGAGAGAAAATTTTCTTTTTTTTTTCTTTCTGAATGCCATAAACCTTTTTTTAATATACTCATCAAGGACTTGTCATATTTCTCTCGTTTTTTTTTTGTTCTTTTTTTTTCTTTTTTGTCTTTAACGAGGTTTTAAGAACACACCCTGTTTTTCTTGTATGATGATGAGAATAAGAGAGAGAGAGAAATGAATATATATGCAACTTCTTTTTTTCTTCTTATTGCATATAAAATTTCGTGAATCATGTAGGACAACTAATAAAAATATACATTTTCGTTGATTTCAAATCTCTTCACTACTCTGAACGTCTTTTGCGAATGATATCAAAAGACGAGATCATACGACATATGTATCTATCTCTCTCTATACACAAAATTTTTATTCATGGAAAATAGAATATAACTGCTAATGGTGATGGCTCCACTAAATAGGATATTGTATGATTTCTATTATAGTTTAGTAGAAAAGAGAAATAAATAAGTCTGATGTAAGAGAAGAAACGAAGAGAACAGAACTGACGAACTATTTTTTTAATAAAAACAGATCCATTTTTTTTTTTTAAGAGAGAAGAGAAAGTGAGAGAAAGAGAATAAAATAAAAATCCAGTGTTCGTTCCTTTTAGTGAAAAACGTGTATACCGTACCACTTGAAAATTTTTATTCATGACGTATCTACGGATTTTTTTATTTAAGAAAAATCATTTCTTTTTTTTTTTTACTTCATTTTTACGTTATATAGAAATAATAATGAGAGAAAACCTATGAGAAAAAACATACACGTGATGTGTTAAAGAAAATAAAAAAACACCTTCATAATAAAACGATTAAATATGATATTACATATGCATAGGGAGGATGATGGTGGTGACGATGATGAAGCGAGCAAACATGGTGTATATACGTATATATGTATAGAATATACTACGAGAAAAAAAAAAGTTTTTTTTGTGTGTGACGATATGTCGACTGCAAAAAAATATATAAAATAGAAAGAGCATGATGTGAAAATTATACTTTTTTTTAAAGTAAAAGATGTATTAAACATAAGCGTTATAATAAATGATAATTAATTTAATCTTTTGTTTCTATGTCGTATTCTAAACACATATGATTAATAAAAATACGACACATTGGGTAAAGTAAGTTCTTATACAAGTTTGAAATTTAATTTTTCACCTATTTATAGATGAAGTACGTATACATTGTGAGAAAATGTGAAAGTGAATAATATACAAATAGAAAGTTGATGATTAATTCGATTTTATAATCTTTTTCAATAGAGAGATTATCTGGTGAAAAAATTTATAGAATACAATCTGTCGTCTGTTATAGTTCAATAGTTGCAAGAGAATAGTAAAATTTACAATCTATCAGTATTTAGTCAAAATCCAGTGCACTCTCCAACAGAAAAAGATGAAAACTTGAGTTCGAAAGAGAAGGCTTAGGGCAACCTTTTCATCCAAAAAAATGTTAAAAAATATTACCTACTGGCGGTGTATCTGATAAATTTTTTTTAACTCAACTGCTATTTCAAAAACTCCCATTACACTTTCAACTCAAATTATATAGTTAGATAGGTGAAAATATCTTCCATCGATTTGCGTAAGTCCAAGATCGGTCACTTTTTCTGTTACGGAGAGGACTTATTTTTTGCTAGAACAGCCCTATCTCTTTATTTTCAACTCGGAGAATCTCATTGAAAAGTTATACGAAAAGCTCGAGAGTGCGCTGTATTTTAACTTCAATACTAATAAATAGTTAGCTAAAACGAATTTTCTTGCGTTTCTTGAGAATGGAAAAAGAACATGTTTTAGTTCTCAAATAACTTTATCCTAAATATTTCATACCGAATCTGTCTTTTAAATATGAGTTTTCTTAATAAAAATCGAACGCTCATGTATAATAGATGACCTTCTATCTAAGATTTTTTTTTCTTCTTAATACAAATATGTAAACAACAACATAATAAGATGAATTAATTTTATGAGGCATAATTCAAGGGCAGATGATATATCTCTTCTCTTTATTGTCACTTGACCTAAATGACCTCTTGAAATATATTATTTGCCATTTTACATCTTTATTCGGTATTATACAATCTATTTTTTTGCAGAGAGAATATAAGGAACAGTACAAGGTGAAGAAGGAAAGAAATCTTTAAAAAATTTATAAGAGTTTTTTTTTTTCGAACACATTTTATCACCTTGACACACCTGTAAAGATTGTCGTATGATCGTGCGTTATAGTATTTTAGTCTTTTTTCCTTTTCTTTTGCTGAACATTCCATTTTATTGAACAAGATCAATCTTTTTCATATTTATCAATTTGTTTCATTTGTGAGTGAGATGAAATCGGATATACATTACATGAAGAAGGAATTTAGAAGGGAAGAAAGAAAAGAAAAAAGAATTATTATTATATATACACATATGAATTCTCTCTCTCTCTCTTTTTGTTGTGCATGATCTGTAGGCCTATACAGTTTACTGTAGTTATATAACAAGAAGATGGAGAGTTAATAACAGCTGATAAGTATGAAAATTCACAAGATAAATAGCATGTGTACGTGTGTCCATTGTAAAATATCCCGAAGCATCTAGTGATATATGGTATGTACTTTAGCAATGGTAGTACATTAGCTGTATCATCAATAGATGAAATGCCGACGGCCATGATAAGAAAAGGATAGTGCAGCATGTCATAAAACTTATCTCAAGGTTGTTATCCTATTCACCTACAATTTTAACACTTTACACGTCAACTAATGTTATTGTTTCATTACTAGCTTTAATTTGGATAACAGACTTACTTTTACTACATTGGTATTTAAGTAGTCAAGGTTTATGGAATAAACCTTAAATACTTTTTTACTGAGTTCTAGATTTGTTCGTCTTTTCTTTTATAGATACATAATGTAATGTAATAGAGAATAATCAAGATGTTTAATTAGCTAGAGTGAGAGAAGGAGCATTGGTATTCTAATTCGTGGGTGACGATATGGTGTGTAACAGAAAAGTTGTATGGTAACATTAACGTAAAAGGTATGGCTGAAACAAATGATCAGTATGGAACGTCAACATTTCAAATGAAAATGAATTCATCATTATTGTCTAATGATCAGAATATGATGAATAATTCTCAAAAACATCTTCTAAATCACGATTTATCGTCTACAGCGACATCGCCCTATGTATACTCAGGCATTTGCTCATCATGTCTCAAAGAGACATCTCAGCTTATTTCGTCTCCGTTTTCGTGTTCGTTTTCGTCTCCACATCGTCTATGTACAAATTGTTTTCAATACTTTGTGGAACAACAACAACAACAACAAGCATTGATTCAACCAAAAGCTCCTCTATCATCGATCACTGCACCATTAAACGGTTCATCAATTGATAATAAACCACCACTTTCATTACATGTGTCTCATCAAACAACACAAATTAATCATTATTCACCTCTTTCGTCATCCAGTTCTTCTTCGAGCTCATCTATGTCTTCGTGTTCGTCAAAAGTCATTTCTGCATCCTCTACAACAAATCGTTCACAGATGGTAACTGATTACGATGTATTATTGTCAAATGAATTAAAATCATTTGCTCAGGAATTTCATAGGACGAATAATAATGATAATAATAATAAATCTATCAAAACAAATCACTTTATGAATGATCTCATTGATATTCATTCATTTGATTCTTTACTACCAAATGGAAATAATGACGATAGTTGTTTGAATCATTTTAATAGTACGCTATCACCATTCGTACACACGTATACAGATCAACAAACAAGTGATTTTACGAAATATTTTCAACAAATATTAAACACTACCAATGCTTTTGACGATAATCCCCCATCAACTAGTCCAACAAGTAGTAACAGTTCAAATAGTGTTGACAATCACCAACAACAATTTCCTCTTATTACTCCGATACAACAAAAAACATCAAATAAGAATGCTTATGGTGGTAATGATCTAGTCAATGGGAACTGCATTATACCCTCACAACCGAACACATTTTCATCTAGTTTACCAACTAATCCAACAGATTTTTTTCAACAACAACTACAGACAATTCCTTCTACAACAACAAATGTTTTTCATCGTCAATTATCAGCATTCTCATCATTTGATGATCAAAATAACAGTAATTATCATCATCAACAACAGACATTAGAATCAAATAAACTTGTTAACGGTGATAATTATTCGCCATATTCGTCACTAGTCAATAATACATTACCTGTCACAACCCCTAATAATAATTCATCATTGTACTGTTGTTTTGCCAACAATATACCTTATACATATTGTTTAGATTGTGAAACATCGCTATGCGAAAAATGTTCAAATGAACATCCTCGTTTAACAATTTTTAAAGATCATCGTCAACAAATTCTACCACGTCAAACGTTATTCGATTCGAATACGTCTACAAAATCAACACTTCCATCTTCTTTAATTATGCAACACATAACAGATAATAAAAGTTCATCGTCATCATCATTAAAACAAAATCAAGATCATCTTAATCAATCAGTATTAAATAATGATCGAAATTCACTTTATTCAAATTTATTAGTCAATGGTATTCATCCGTTTCCACAAAAATCATACTGTTCAACTGCCAAAACTGATATATCAACAGGTATAGCAATAATACTATAATTTTAAATAACTATTGCATAAGTTTTATTTTATAGGCATGAATAATGATGGTGCAAATAATGCATTCAACAATATCTTAAATTCATTTTTTTCACAATTAACTCTAACACCATCAACATCTTCTACTCCACTTTCAACAAATACTACGGTTACAACACCTACAGGATCCATGGTACTTAATAATTCATCATCAATTTCTTGTTCCGAACATTCTAATTTAAAAGCATCCTATTATTGTGATTTATGTTCAAAAGCCTATTGTCAAGAATGTAATCAACAACATTCAACACATCATTCATCATTAACTCATATTCAAGATACAATTGATAATGCAAAACAATTAACAAAAAAATTTTTAAATGAATCACAAATATTATTACTTCATCTTGATGAATCATTAAAACAATCAACAAAAACCATGGAAAATATTAATAATAAATGTTCAACCGTTGAAAATGAAATAAAAGCTATTATTAAATATTTTCTAGATATTTTAACAAATAGACAAGATTATTTATTAAAAAATTTAGATAAAATACAAACAATTAAAACTCAAATAGTACAAAAACAAATTAATGAATTAAATACTGTTATAAGACAATTGCACAACACAATTGTGGGTAAGTATTATCATTTTTTTCCGAAATCTTCAATATTATATTTTTTATTTTATATAAATAGATTGTAATGATTGTTTAAAAAATGGTAATGATAATGAATTAATTCGTATTCGTAATCGTCTATGGAATGAAACATTAAAAATGAAACAGACAATAAATCAATACATGAAACCAATTGAAGATGATTCAATTCAATTTCAACAATCATTGCCAACATTAAATAAAACATTATTGAATTTTGGTCAAATAACAACAAATTCTTATGGACCATTATGTGAATTATATGGTGATGGTATTCATTATGCAATTAAAAATAAATTAACAATATTAAATTTACAGACAAAAAATCATCTTGGTGAAAATCGCAGTTGTGGCAGTGATGTAGTACAATGTTTATTACAACAAATTGGAGATACTTCCATAACATCAAACGGTATTCAATGTGAAATATACGATAGACAAAATGGACAATATTTTATTACTTATATTATTAATAATGAAGGGTATTATCTATTGAATGTTTATGTTAATAGTAATCCAATTAAAGATAATCCATTTCATATACAAGTTAGACAAAATCGAAATTATTCAACAATTGGACGTTTAATATTTGAATTTGGTGGTGAAGGTGATCATGATGGAAAATTGTGTCGACCTTGGGGTGTTTGCTGTGATAATCAATCAAATATTATTGTTGCAGATAGATCAAATAATCGTGTACAAATTTATGATAAACATGGAAAATTTATACGAAAATTTGGTACACAAGGAAATCGACCTGGTCAATTTGATAGACCGGCTGGTGTTGCATTCGATAAATTATTAAATAGAATTATTGTTACAGATAAAGATAATCATCGAATTCAGATATTTACAGTCAATGGAGAATATTTATTTAAATTTGGTGAAAAAGGTAATCATTTAAAAAGAAATAAAAAGCAAAGAATAAATATTTTAATTTTTTTGTTAAATATTTACTTATTGATCTAATATGTTAGAAATTACTATATAAAAAAAATTTTTTGATTTTAAATTCATTTTTAGGTACAAAACCCGGTCAATTTAATTATCCATGGGATGTTGCAGTTAATAATGAATGTCAAATATTAATATCAGACACTCGTAATCATCGTATTCAATTATTTACAAAAGATGGTTTATTTTTAAGAAAATATGGTTTTGACGGTCCAATATGGAAACAATTTGATTCTCCTCGAGGTGTAGCATTTAATAATAATGGACATGTTATTGTTAGTGATTTTAATAATCATCGTTTACTCATTATAACATCAGATTTTCAAACAGCTCGTTTTCTTGGCACCGAAGGTACAGCAAATGGACAATTTCTTCGTCCTCAAGGTGTCGATGTTGATTGTGAAGGCAATATTATTGTGGCTGATTCAAGAAATTATCGTGTACAAATATTTTCACCACAAGGTACATTTAAAACAAAATTTGGTATGCAAGGTTCTGGATATAATCAAATGGATCGACCATCAGGTATTTGTGTATCACCCGAGGGCTACATCATTGTTGTAGATTTTGGAAATAATCGAATACTAGCTTATTGAAATATTTTCAAAAAAATCCTCTTTGCAATTATTTTTTTGTGTTGCCTGAAAAAAAAAAAGACCCGTCCGGTTTCTGCTCAGGTATCTATATTAGCTACCCGGTTAAATGTACACATTCTTCTCTGTTTTCTTTTTTATCTTGTCGCGTGTATAAGAAATTAACATAGTGCGTGTATATACCAAGTAGGTGGGTATATTTTGTTTTGAAACGGGGCTTTAATTAAAAATTTTATTGTCTGTTATATGTCCTGTTCTGTCTTTGATGTGTGTACCATTTCTTTTTTAAAATTATTACTCAGGAAACATATGAATGCATAATTCTTCAAGCATAGAACACATCCGACATACGTAATTTACTTTCTTTTTTTTTTAAATTGAAATACATTGACTAAATTGTTTGCGTAATATTCAGTCAAATAATATTTTAAATTTAGTTTGTTTTTTCATTTTGTTTTTTCCTATAATGAAAGACCTATCTTCATCACTATTCAATTAAAAAACAACAACACAACTATCTATCATAGAAGTATCATAATTAAATATAAATAAAGACTATATTCTTCATCATATGTCATTTTGGCTAATATTAGAGTGATCTATACGTGTTTGGATTAAGTGTACTATTGATATAATAAGACAAAGTGAAACTTTGACGAGTATTATGCTCTCTAAGATTAATTTTCTTTTCTTTCAAGAGTAACATTATGGCATTATTCTTTCGTTATTTTAGACAGATGAACGAACGTCTAACCGACGTCAAACTATATTTTTTTGTTTGCGTTTGATTAACTTAATTATAAATTGCTCTAGAACAGTTTTTTTGAGAACAGTTAAAAATAACTTTAGTTTTTATCATTATTTTTTTCATCGGTTATATTTTGAAATCCTATTTTTCGTAGATCATCAAATAGTGATTCATAAAATCAAAAGAATAACAGTATATTTTTCTTCTCTCGCAGGATAATGTGTCTATTGAATGCTTTACACTCATAGAAGAGCTTAATTTTAAAATTTTTCAATTGTCAAGTCTTAATTTCGAGGCTTTTTTACTTCAAAGACAGACGTAAAAAATAAGTAACACAAAATTGGATCGACTATTGCAGACTGATCACTTATTTATAGATCATGATCTTTCAGATGATAAATTTTTATTTTTTATTTTTACCATCATTAATTCTATGTGTTATTACGAATTGGATGATAGAACTTGTGTGTCTATGCTCTTTTTTTTTCGATATTTTCTTATCTAGTAAATAATGTTCAATTTTTCTCAACTCAGGAAAATCTTTTTGTTGATTTTGCCGTATAGTTAAAAATAACCATGTGACAGTGACCATCAAATTATCATGATTTACTCATTTCTACTCTATTATCAACTTTTTTCTTTTTATTCCCTTCTCTAGCAGTGCTTTGATATTCGCTTATTTTCTTCTCGTTTTTTTTATCTAAAGTTACCCATTTAAATAACCACCGCACTCATACAATTCTCATTTTTTTAATATTAAATCATATTTAGTTATTTTTAAGATGTGTACTTTTTTCAAAATTTCTTTAAGGTAGTCATTTCAAATTAAGGTTTCAAACTGGATAAAATACACTTGCTTGTCATTTACAAAGTAATTTTAAGCCTAGTGGTTAAATATTTTTCCCTCCTAAACATTACTTTTTTTTCCTTCAAAATACAATTAAGTTACCTATTTTACATTTTGTTGATTAATTTTTTTTATTTACAAATAAAATAAAAAAGCATAGCATTGAGAGTTTTAAAATTAAGTTTTTCTGATAAAAAAAAAAAATTATTTTCTAGAAATTGTGGAATTGGTGCTCTTCCTAGAGAAAACAGAATTTTACAATCGAGTGTATAAATATTCTTGTTTACACACAGATATTAATACTCGGGTTTCTTCTTTTTATTTTATATTTTGTCATTCACGATTGTCTTCTTGTTTGTATAGAACGAATAGTCTTTTTTGTTCTTTTGTTTTTAACGCAGTATAACACTAAGTGTTAAAAATTTTAATTTTAATTATTGATATTGTGTAAATCCTGCATGTTTATCTGTATTGTCGTCTATCTTCTTCTTTTTTTTTCCTATCAAAGTCTTGATGTTTTAATGTAAAAAATTAAAAAAATGAAATTTATATCGTTGTTTATGTCAAATTTATTTATTTATGTTGCTGTTGTTGTACGCACAATACAATTTCTCATTTTTTGTCGAACTAACAGATTTTTTTTTTCTTCTTCTTCTTGTTGTGTGTGTTTGGTTTTTGTTCAATGATATATCACCGTGTCGTTTTCATTTCTTGCCTTTATTATTTAAAAGAATAAAAAATGGTTTATTTTTTTCGCTCATTCATAATGTTTACCTTTTTTATTTATTTTTTTGCTTTTCTTGTGTAATTAAATCAACACAATACAGTTTTGGTTACATGGAAAAAAAAAATTGAAAAAGACCAAATAAAGGTGTCAAAACTATAGTTTAAATAGTCTTAGAAATGTATCACTAACTATTAAATATGCTGCACAACTATATAATTGAGATATCCTTTCATCTTAATCGAACTGGATAACTTGAAAATTGAGGAAATAATATCAATTTTCTTCTTGAAATGGAGAAATTTAAGTACAAATTAATCTAAAAGTAATCTAAGAGCTGAAATATACGATATAATTGGGCAAATACTCCTACTATATTTAAGATCATACGCTATTAATAACTGAGCAAATACTTGCAAAACGTACGTGTAATTTTTTTTGTGTTTTTTTATGTTTCCAAATTAAGTGAATAGGATGGTAGGAAAAAATCATCGTAGAATTATGCTAAAATAAGAGTAATTTTATATTCTTGAATGAATTTTGATCTAACTAAATGTCTGAATCTACTAAAATCAATTAAATTATGTAATTATCATTTGCATTAACAAAATAACTTCCTTATCTTATCAAGACTCTAACCATATAGAACTATTGATATTACGGTGTGTGCATGTCTACATAAAATGAAGGTCTATCGTGAAGGAAAAATGTTATAAACAAAATAATATTATCGAGTGAGAGAAGAAGAAGAAGAAAAAAAAAACTTTCAACTTAGTTTTTATATTCTTTCAAATTTTCTCGTTAACGTGTAGTGGCAAATATTTCTCATGGTCATCAATCGTCTCATAACCTTGTAATACACTAACATAACTTATTTTCATCAAGGACTTTTGCCTTGTTATTCGCATTATTATTTAACAATACTTCTTTTTTTTTTTTTATAGTTTATAAAGAATAATATTTGACATTGAGAAATATATTTCTATATATATATATATAATTGTAGAAGTCTACTCTACCACTCTCTTTCTTTCTCTTTACTATTTTTATTTTTCTGTATACTTGTCCTTGTCGTTCTCTAATTCTTTAGAGATAAAGAAATAAAAAAAAAGAACGTGCATTTATAATATAATAAAACAGTTTTCATTCTTTTTTTCTATGTTTTTTTTTTATTATTAAAACATTCTTCTAGTAGTTTATCTAGTCTCTGTCACAACGGCAGACAAGGTCGTTATTACTCAAACTTATGATTACAGTAATTTGTGCAGACATAACACTATCACAATAGACAAATAATAATAATAATACATATACACACGCACACACAACATACTCTAATCCAAGGTTGAACCTCACAAGGATTTCGTATAAGAACATATTTCTTTTGTTTTCTTCTTCTTGTATATAACAACAAAATACATAGATATTTTGTAAGATTTACCAAAAACAAATATTTCAGTTTAAAAAGAATATCCGTTGTCGAAAATTAATAAAAAAAAGTTTATTCGGTTCGATGAGTGCTAAAAAATAAATTTTCCTAAGAAAAGACTAACAGTACTCGAAGGTTTTCGTCAAAAATATTGCCTAAATAAATACGAAAAATATTCTGTTGTATACTTTATCATTGTGGTTGACGAGTTAAACAAATAGCATAGATACTAATTTTGTTTTTCTTCCATAGATGTGAGTCGTATATTCAGAGACAAACAATGCTTTTGAATTAATTTGTTTTTATTGTACGAGGAGTCGATAGAAAGATACTGTCATTAATTAAAAACATACAAAGTTAGATCAATCTTCGATGAAGAACCTTTTCTTAGATGATAAATTTCATTTTCGTTTAGTTTTGACTAAAATGATTTTTGATTGCTATCATCCGACAGTAAGATTTTCTAAATTATGTTATGTTACCCCCTGGCCCAGAATCGCATTTATCATTTACGATACATCGGAATGGGTCGTCGGATGAATTAAATTGTTCACAAAATTTTCAAATCTTCAATCGCCATTTCTAAGTAAGATTATATATATTTGGTGAATCGAGTGTATCTGGGGTACTTTTAAAATTGATGAGTGTGTTCAAAATGTTTTTATTGCAAATGGTGTTCTATCTGAATTGATAAACAGAACTGAGCATTTAAATGAGATTAGAAAGTGAATTTTTAACGGTTAGAAGCCAGACAATTTGAGAGGCAAACGCGTGAAAAGAAAATGTTGCTTCGACCAGAAATCGAACCTAGGACCATCTGGTAACAGGCTAGAAGCGCTACCCGCTGACTATTAAACCACAATCTAGCATACACTCTCAGTTCGCATGAATGTCTATCAAATTATGTCTTACTTCTAGTTGTGTTGAAAACTCACTTTCTAATGTCATCAAGTCTTGTTTCACAATTCATCTTCGTAAACCTTCAAATGGATTTTATTGACTTTTGTTAATGGCAGGAGTTTTACAATTAAGTTTCTGTTTTATCATAAATTGTAGCTGATTTATTTCTTGTTTTATTTTAGTTTTATATTAATAAAATAAAATAAAATAAGAAATAAATCAGCTACAATTTATGATAAAACAGAAACTTCTAATGGATTTTCTTTTATTTCAGTTGTAAACTGTTCGAAACGACGAATCATAAAATGCATCATTAAATAATATATACACTATTATTTAAAGAAAAAACAAATAA